GCCCTGGACAATCTTTCTTTTTTTGTTGCATTATGAATGAAGGTGTAGGAATTGTTTACATTCATCGGCACAAGCTCATCTACCTTATGGCCTTTTGAATTTAGTTCATCAAAGTGGTTTATAAGTATGTTAATCTTATGTATGTGCAATTTGGTTGACTTTTTCCAGTTTTGAGTCTCCTTGTCTTTTGCTAGATGGTGTGACTTAACACTTGATTAGCTGGAATGACCATGAATAAATGTTCAGTTTGTTTTGGTTCTGACACGCTTAAAGATCATTTGGAAATCAATGACTTGATTGTTTCCTTCTAAGATCATCAGCTGCAAGTTGCTTCTCAACCCCCACAAAGGAGATACCACTGCGCCCCTCCTTTTCCTTTTCTCCCTCCCTCCCTTTTAAGATGCACAGCATAGTTACACTAGTAGTGTCTCTGTTCATAACTTATGGTCACCGTTTGAGTGCCATTGTTTTCTAATTTTTAAAGTTTAAGAGTTTGTTGTTTAACTAAGAACGTGCTTTCATGCCATTTTGTATGTCTTAGGTTGTCCAGCGTTTCCAGGAGTTGTTTGCTCAAACCAAGTATAAGGAGGCTGCTGAGCTTGCTGCAGAGTCCCCACAAGGCATCCTCCGTACACCTGATACCGTCGCCAAATTTCAGGTGTCTATTTTGTTTTGAAAGTTGCGTTCCCTTTTCCTTGTTGCTGATAACATTCCTGCATCTGTCTGGTTCATTTAGAAGAATGTTTAGTTAAGATATCTTTTAGCGTTTGGTTTCTTGATATCTAAGTGATGTCATGAGGAGGGAGGGAATTGATATTGGTTGCAATTGAACACGTCATATCTGATTCAGTAGGTATGCTGTTGTGTTAGGTTTGTTTCGGATGGGGCTTCACCAAATAATTTTGAAGGAATAGCTATGAAGTTTCCGGTTTTGGTTCTTAGGTAGAACTGTCAGATAAAGCTATTTGATCTCTTTTTTGGTTGGGGAGGAGTTGATCCTGTTGGAATTTTGTAGTTCTGTTTTTTGTATTGACGGGTTCATAATGGAATGGAGGTGTGGCATTGGGCTGAGAATTGCTTTTTTCCCTTCTTTTTTCAAGTGGAGAAGCAATTAGTTACATGTTTGTATATGCCATCTATAATGTGTACCGCATTTATGTTATAAACAGTAAGAATTAAAATCATGGGCTTTGAATGTCAGGAAATGTGGAAATTGAGATAGTTTTCTGAAGGCAAGCCTCACAAGAGAAGTGTTATACACGCACACATATATATTCTCATTCCTACATTGTTAGCAGATCAGACTTTGAACCCTTCCTGTGCGAGGTTGTAAGCCATGAACATTGCCAATTGTTATGTAAATCAATGAACACATTACATTCTGAACATTGGGCCCTGTTACTTATTTGTTTCCTCATGTCTACGTATTATGAAGATAAAATTGGTAAACTATTTCATTAGGAACTGTTCATTGGGAGTCAGTTTAGACATTTTTTTGAAGTAAAGAATCTTTCAATTAATATTTTGTTGTGGAGTGGAAGAAACATGGATGAAAATTGCATTGTCAGAAGCATAAAATGGGATAAAAGAGGTCACGAATTGAGGAATTCACCTGGTTGGAAGTTGCTGAAGTGGACTCAAGTGCACCCAATAAATAGGGGAAAAACATACAGACAGACAGGTGAAATTTGTCAAGCACGTCATGTGGTCCTTCTGTTTCAGTTACCTGCTAAAATGGAACATCAGTTAGAGCTGGCTGAAGATTATTTGTGTTTTTTTATTCTTCTCTGCTGCCAATATTTCTGATTGGGGAAAATAGAAATCATCTCAAATTGATTGTTGTCTTATTTACAGAGTGTCCCTGTTCAAGCTGGGCAAACGCCACCTTTGTTGCAGTACTTTGGAACTCTTCTGACTAGAGGAAAGCTTAATGCATTTGAGTCATTGGAACTATCTCGTCTTGTTGTGAATCAGAACAAGAAAAATCTTCTGGAAAACTGGTTGGCTGAGGACAAGTTGGAATGTAGCGAGGAGCTTGGAGACCTTGTGAAGGTTAGATTTGCAAATTTGTATCAGTATACTGTTTTTTTTCATGCTGCCAGATATTCTATTTCTTTGACATCTTTCTGATAGAGGCACTGTTTCTCCTTGTAGACTGTGGACAATGACCTTGCCTTGAAAATATATATTAAAGCCAGAGCAACTCCAAAAGTGGTTGCTGCTTTTGCTGAGCGAAGGGAGTTTGATAAAATTTTGATATACTCCAAGCAGGTGAGTGAATGTTTAATGCATTAATTTTTAGTTTCTGCCCATCATATCATTGTACAGATGCTGATTATTCGATGCATAAGGAGAATGGACCTTTCTTGTTATCTTTAAAAGAAAATTTTCTTATGAGAATATAGTTCTGTTATGTGTCCTCAGCATACGATTGATTCTTTGTTGATACAGGTTGGATATTCACCTGATTATTTATTCCTTCTGCAAACGATTCTTCGATCAGATCCCCAGGTATGCAAAGAATTTTCTGGCAACTTAACCTTCCAATTTGTCCAGAATTTCAATGCTCTTATTTTTTGCAGTAAGTGTCAAATCCCCGTGATGTGGTGATATTTTTTTTTACTTAACCGGCACCATTATGTTCTCATGTTTGGAAAATTAGCCTTTCTTTTTGCATAAATGTAAATGGAATTTATTACTGGAGGAAGATAAGTAACTGTTGTCTGTGGTTGCAGGGAGCGGTTAATTTTGCCCTCATGATGTCCCAAATGGAGGGAGGTTGTCCAGTTGATTACAACACAATAACAGATCTATTTCTTCAGGTCTTTTTACTGTCCCCATGTTCTTATTGTGTTATATATATAATGTGAGGTTTACTGGCATCTCTGCTCATTAATTTGAACTTTTCAAAGCTAAAACATGGGCTGGTAGTGTTCGTTGTTGATTTGACATTTGACATTTTTACTTGCTTACAATAATAATTACATATCAAATGTTTTTCAAACACAGCCATCTAGAAGTTAATTGTTTTTGCTATTGTTCATTATCACCAGAGGAACTTGATCCGCGAAGCAACAGCATTTTTGTTGGATGTTTTGAAGCCTAATCTGTCAGAACACGCATTCCTGCAGACTAAGGTTACTGTTGACTAGTTCCATGGTACTTACTATTTATTTATCTGAGCCTACTCACAGCATAATAATATTTCCCATCAATATAGGTCCTGGAAATCAATCTTGTAACTTTTCCTAACGTTGCCGATGCTATATTAGCAAATGGAATGTTCAGTCATTATGATCGTCCTCGAATTGCTCAACTTTGTGAAAAAGCTGGTCTCTATGTGCGAGCTCTTCAGGTTGTTTTTTTCCCCAGCAATATGTCTTGTTAATGATGGAGCTAAATTATCTATATACTTGAATAAACGTGGTCACTTCTTTGCAGCACTACTCTGAACTGCCAGATCTCAAACGTGTCATTGTGAATACTCATGCAATTGAGCCACAGGTTGGCATACTACACTCCTGTTTGTCTGCATCATATAAGTTTCAGTAGTAGTACTGAATATGTTCTTCATTTCAGTCTCTTGTGGAATTCTTTGGGACTCTTTCACGGGAGTGGGCTCTGGAGTGCATGAAGGACCTCTTACTGGTCAATCTAAGAGGCAACCTTCAGATAATTGTGCAGGTATCCATTCCTTCTCCCTGTGGGCCCTCTCGCACGAAGTAGATTCTTTGGGATTGATTTGTGCTCTCCCGTTAACAGCAAAAATCAAAATGTGTGTGTGCGTGCAGGTTGCCAAAGAATACTGTGAGCAGTTGGGTGTTGATGCCTGTATAAAGCTCTTTGAGCAATTTAAGTCATACGAAGGATTATACTTCTTTTTGGGGTCATATTTGAGCTCGAGGTAACTTGGTAGGAAGCTACCAATTTCATATCTGTTTTCCTGTCGATTATTTACTAAATTCTGGTTTCTGTTGCAGTGAGGATCCTGACATCCACTTTAAGTACATTGAGGCAGCTGCCAAGACTGGACAGATAAAGGAGGTTGAGCGGGTGACAAGAGAATCAAATTTTTATGACCCTGAAAAGACAAAGAACTTCTTAATGGAAGCCAAGCTTCCGGACGCTAGGCCTCTAATTAATGTATGTGATCGCTTTGGATTCGTTCCAGACCTCACTCACTATCTATATTCAAGCAACATGCTCCGATACATTGAAGGTTATGTTCAAAAGGTATGATCTCCTTCAAGGATCTTAGATTGTATATTGTCTTTGCAAACCCCTTGAGAATTGTACCACTGAAGTCTTCTTTGGATAGGTTAACCCAGGAAATGCTCCCCTAGTTGTGGGGCAGCTGCTGGATGATGAATGTCCTGAAGATTTCATTAAAGGCCTGATTCTATCTGTCCGTTCTCTGCTTCCTGTTGAGCCCCTTGTGGAGGAGTGTGAGAAACGGTGCTGCGACTCTTCTCCTATCTCCTACTTTATTGTGCCATTATTCCTTCATGGCCTTATTCTTTACTTGTGGTTTTCAGGAATCGTCTCCGATTACTTACTCAGTTTTTGGAGCATCTTGTGAGTGAGGGAAGCCAAGATGTACATGTTCACAATGCTCTTGGAAAAATCATAATAGATAGTAACAACAATCCTGAGCACTTCCTCACCACCAACCCATATTATGATTCACGTGTTGTTGGTAAATATTGTGAGAAGCGTGATCCGACCCTTGCTGTTGTTGCATATCGCAGAGGGCAGTGCGATGATGAACTTATAAATGTAACAAATAAGAACTCTTTATTCAAACTACAAGCCAGGTTCGTGATTTGCTTAGTTTCATGCTGGCATGCATTCGATTAAGGTTTAGAGGTTGACATTCTCGTTTTCATTTCAGGTATGTAGTTGAAAGGATGGATGCTGATCTCTGGGAAAAAGTTCTTAACCCTGAAAATGAATACAGAAGGCAGCTCATTGATCAAGTTGTTTCTACTGCTTTGCCTGAAAGCAAGAGCCCAGAACAAGTTTCTGCGGCTGTTAAAGCTTTCATGACAGCTGATCTTCCGCATGAGCTAATTGAGCTTCTTGAAAAGATTGTGCTCCAAAACTCTGCATTCAGTGGGAACTTCAATCTGCAAAACTTGCTTATCTTGACAGCCATCAAGGCAGATCCATCCAGAGTTATGGATTACATTAATAGGCTAGACAACTTTGATGGACCTGCTGTTGGGGAAGTGGCTGTGGAAGCCCAATTGTATGAGGAAGCTTTTGCAATTTTCAAGAAATTTAACTTGAATGTACAGGCTGTCAATGTTTTATTGGATAGCATCCAAGACATCAACCGGGCTGTGGAGTTTGCATTCCGTGTTGAAGAAGATGCTGTTTGGAGTCAGGTGGCTAAAGCTCAACTCAGGGAGGGATTAGTGAGTGACGCAATCGAGTCATTTATTCGTGCTGATGATGCTACTCAATTCTTAGATGTAATTCGTGCTGCTGGGGATGCAGATGTTTACCATGACTTGGTGAGATACTTACTGATGGTTAGACAGAAGGCTAAGGAGCCTAAAGTGGATAGTGAGCTCATCTATGCATATGCAAAGATCGATAGGCTGGGTGACATTGAAGAATTTATTCTCATGCCAAATGTTGCAAATCTCCCCAATGTTGGTGATCGCTTGTATGACGAAGCACTATATGAAGCTGCAAAGATAATATTTGCTTTTATTTCTAACTGGGCCAAGTTGGCATGCACACTTGTAAAGCTTAAACAATTTCAAGGTGCTGTTGATGCAGCAAGAAAAGCAAATAGCTCAAAGACATGGAAAGAAGTATGCTTTGCTTGTGTTGATGCTGAGGAGTTCCGCTTGGCTCAGATATGTGGGCTCAACATTATTGTACAGGTGACATTTTCATTCTTTGATTTCATATTCATTTTTGACGTGTCTATGAAGGTGAACGTTACATTACGGCTTTGAAACTTGGTCCAGCTGCAGTCATGTGGATTATTTACTTTGAAACTTGGTCCCTTAGTTTTAGAGATAAAACCTTGTGTCAGTTTCCCTTGGTTATTTTCATGTAGACCTCATTTGTATTGTGTAGATGTTTCATACCTCTTCTTTTTCTCCTAAGGTGTTATACTTGTGCAAATCATGTAGGTGGATGACTTGGAAGAGGTTAGTGAATATTACCAAAACAGGGGATGCTTCAATGAACTTATTTCTCTTATGGAGAGTGGATTAGGATTGGAACGGGCGCACATGGGCATCTTTACTGAGTTGGGTGTCCTTTATGCCAGATACCGTTACGAGAAGCTTATGGAGCATATTAAACTATTTTCAACCCGTCTCAACATCCCAAAGCTTATCCGAGCTTGTGATGAACAACAGCACTGGAAGGAGCTCACATATTTGTATATTCAATATGATGAATTTGATAATGCTGCCACAACTGTCATGAATCATTCCCCAGATGCATGGGATCACATGCAGTTCAAGGATATTGTTGTTAAAGTTGCTAATGTGGAGTTATATTACAAGGCCGTGCATTTCTACTTACAAGAGCATCCTGATCTTATCAACGATCTTCTTAATGTCCTTGCGCTTCGTGTGGATCATACACGTGTGGTGGACATAATGAGGAAGGTTTGTACTTCTGCTTGAATGCTATTCTTTTTTTTTTTTAACCATTATAATCATGGTCTGAACTTTTGAACGTTATGAATCCTTTTCGTAATGCATTTTTACCTTTGTTTTAGGCGGGTCACTTGCGGCTGGTGAAGCCATACATGGTTGCAGTTCAGAGCAACAATGTGGCCGCTGTGAATGAGGCTCTGAATGAGATCTATGTTGAGGAGGAGGACTATGACAGACTGCATGAATCAATTGATTTGCATGATAACTTTGATCAGATTGGCCTGGCACAAAAGGTGATTTGTTGTAGCTTTACATTGCGAGTTTTCTTATTGGTGGCGAAATTTCACTAGCTTTATGTTTATGTGTTTGAGCAGATTGAGAAACATGAGCTTCTTGAGATGAGACGTGTTGCTGCTTATATTTACAAGAAAGCTGGTAGGTGGAAGCAGTCCATCGCATTGTCGAAGAAAGACAACCTATACAAAGATGCCATGGAGACAGCCTCACAATCTGGAGATCGTGAACTTGCCGAGGAGTTACTTGTGTATTTCATTGAACAGGTATCAACCTTAACCGGAGTCTCAAGGTTGTACATGAAAATATCAAAGCATACAATGCGTCTGCATTTGTTACTGATTTGGTGCAACATGCTTGAACTCAGCTTCGATTTGTAAACTAAGAATTTACATGGTGGAACCCGGTTGTGTTCAAAAATTAGGTTTGAGTATCTACTACACAGGCTTGGGTTTAAAGATGTTGATAACGGAAAAAGAAAATAACAAATCAAGAAATGTAAGATAAAGAATTCAAACACCAGTGGGTTTACTTATTTTGGAAGCTCAAGAATTTTAGAATAAGAAGTGTAAGAGGAGGAAGTTTATTTGAAGTATGCTTTGTGCAGATAGTGAGGTAGCAAACTTGATGCTAGCTTTTTACTTCTGTTGTGTTGGTGTTATGTTAGTGTCTTGGGTGTCCTAATATAGACGCAAATGGTAAGATGCAGTGTCTTAGGAGTTAGCCTTCTTATCCCAGTGAGACTGTCATACTATAGTTAGAATTGTTTATTCCCTCTTGATCTTGAAAACCTTTTCAGGAATATTAAGGCGAGTGTTGCTATTTGCTTTGGTTAATTGCTTTACAATTGCCATGTTGTTATACCTTGTTCTTCTTCCTCTGCTATTGCTTTGCACAATGTGTCTTTTCTAGTACAATTGTTTTTTCCTGGAGGAGTGTACAAATATAATTTTCCATGGCGGAAGTTAGTATACCTTTTGAAACTTCCTTCTACGTCCTCCTCTTTGTTTTTTCTTTACATAACCATCTTCCTTCTATGCGCCTTGACTAGCAACATGGGATTTGGGAAATAAAATGAAATTAACATCATATGCAACTTACTTTTTGGAGTGGAGTGGTATAGAAGTGTAAAGCATTTGTTTATGTTCTTATGCAGGGGAAGAAGGAATGTTTTGCATCTTGCCTCTTCGTATGTTATGATTTGATTCGTGTGGATGTTGCTCTTGAACTTGCCTGGATGAACAACATGATTGACTTTGCCTTCCCATACCTGTTGCAGGCAAGATCTCTCTCTCTCTCTCTCTCTCTCTCTCTCTCTCTCTCTCTCTCATACCTGTTGCCTTCCCATACCTGGGGGTAAAAAATAAGAAATGAGGCCAGAGTTACGTGTTATGGCCACCTTTGTCAAGGACTTTGATTTGAAGTCCGAACAACCAAATTTTACCTGGAGCCAAGTGGTCTTTTGAGATACCTACTAGTGTGAAGCTCAAATTTTGATTGAGATTTGTGAGCCTTGAGATGGTTTTTCTTGGACATGGAAAGTTTTTTTTTTTCCCAGTGATAGAGCAGTTAAATAGATGAATTTACTGGCTCATGTGTCGCTTGTGCTACCTTCTACGTGACATCCTATTAAGCTGTACTAATTTTGCTTTATTTGCTTTGAGAGACCACTATGCGCGTATGATGGCCGTTGTGCTGTTGTGGCATTTGCGGAATCAGGAATCTTCACTGGATGTATGATTGATGGTTGTGATTGTATTGGATAATATCTCCTTGTCTCAGATTGTGGCAGATCATATGGGATAATGCTTCCCATAAATGGAACATGCTTGGCTTGGGTCCCCAGTTTGTAACTTGGGTTTCTAGGCCAATACTTGATACCTTTACTCCTTGCATCTTGTGACTTGGCAGAGCTGAGTTTGCTCGTTCACATCTTGTTCCGTATTTAAGATTGCAGTCTCACTTTGTTCCCTTTTGCTTTCTTGCAGTTTATCCGTGAGTACACCGGCAAAGTTGATGAACTAATCAAGGACAAACTAGAGGCTATCAGCGAAGTGAAGGCTAAAGAGAATGAAGAGAAGGACATTATGAAACAGCAGGTTTTTATTCTGAGCACTCTATATCGGTGTCATGCTGTTGTTGGTTGTGGTTCTGCTTTTGCTGAAATGTTTCATTTTATGCTCTTTGAAGAGCTACTGGGAATTGGGTTTTCTTGTTCTTCTTGCTAGTTACCCAATGCGATTTTTCAATTTTTTCTTATTTCTTATCCACTTTAATTGGTAAGTAACTGACGATTGTGCATGATTGGTTGCAGAACATGTATGCTCAGTTGCTGCCTCTTGCATTGCCTGCACCGCCAATGCCGGGTATGGGAGGAGCAGGGATGGGAGGAGGTTTTGCTCCACCACCACCAATGGGCGGAATGGGGATGCCCCCAATGCCACCCTTTGGCATGCCACCGATGGGCTCATACTGATTTGTAGATGAGGTTGAGGTTTTGGTTTTGATTTTGATTTGAATTCACACCAGATAGTTGTTGCTACACGAGGGAACGAAGACTTACAGTTTGGGTTTTCAATTTGGTGTTTTTTGGGGTTAAATCCTATTCTTCGGGTCGGAAGTTGTTTGATTGGATAATGCGAATGTCTAGGTAGGAAATAATGTTATTTTTGTATTTTACGTCATAAGGTGTTGATAAATTTCTTTGTAATATTCTAGGTAGAAGTCATTTTTTTGCAGCTGGTAGGTGGGAAGCTAAGGATATTGTGTTGTATTAAAAGTAAATGGCCGATACGATATGCTACGCCTTAGTCTTATTCTGAAGGGTTGACATTAGTCCGAGGTTTTGTACTCGTTAGCTCACTCTCTTGTCATTGGATTGCCACTTTTTCTTTCACTAGTTGAATACCCTTAAGTTGGGCGTTACTTTCTTTCTCGTTTACTTGATTTTATCTCACAAGCTGTAGTATGTTTTAATAATCTTTTGTTCATACGATGAATGACGTTACGCAGCTTAACGTTTTTGGTTCTGGTGATCAAGACCAAACCTAAAGGCTAAATCTCCTGTGGAGTTTGGACATGCGGAAGAAAGTTTAGAAACGGATGGAGCGACTTCCTTCGCCCTAGCTAATGACAATGAAGATATTGTACATTGCCAATATTAGGGGCACAACTCTTTGCCTTAGGACAGGGCTTGTTTTTTGGAATGACACTCTTTTTCACACAAACGAGAAACGACGTTAAATTAATTTATAAGACAGTATAGATTGTGAATTTATCAAACCACTAGTGTAAAACAATTGCACCAACGATTGCATTATAAACATCAGATGCACGAAGTTACGCACAATCAGCATGTAAAAATAGAAACTGCTTCCACTGTTGATCCTTAAGATCATGTATTTGATTCTGATCGTCCTCCTCCCCGCCCTTCCCTGTAATAGTGCATGATAAAAGAAAACACCATTATAACAAAACAAAATTATATTATAGAGCATTATATTTTATAATAAAGATATTATTTTGTAACTTACAATGGAATTTGGGGATACGGTTGGAGTCCTCTCCCAAAGGAGGGAAGGGCTCAGAGTTTCAGCACCTTGTTCCAGTAGAGAGAGTTTTGTGTTCAATGGCGAATGTTTTTATTATTGTATGGGGTCTGATATCAACCACTCTTTTGGCCTTCTTAATCTGGAGATTCGTTTCGGTCGTCTTCAGTGGTCGGAGGAACAGAAAGAGGGCCGTTGGGTTCTTCCATCCCTACACCAACGTTGGAGGTGGCGGAGAGTCATCTGGTGTGCCCTCAAAGCGATCCAATAATTAAATCTCGATCTCGACTGTATCGTCTACACCGGCGATCATGATGCTTTTTCCCATACTCTAATGGCTCGAGCCCTCGATAGGTTTGGAGTCAAATTACTTTATCCCCCAAGGTACTCTCTCTCTAATGTACATTTCGGTATTTATCGTCAAATGAGTAACTGTGTGTGTGTGTGTAAAACGTACATTGCAGTATTTATCGTCAAATGAGTAACCGGCTAAACTAGCTGAAATTTGCACGCATATATTGATTTAGATATCGTACTTAAGCTCATATGTGGGTATTGATGTGTGTATACATGTGCATTGTTTGTGTACAAGGCTTGTGTGTGTGGTTTGGTTTTGATCAGATAAAAGTAATATGGTGACTGCTTAATTGTTGAAACCAAAAAAAAAATAACTGTTTTTGATGGGTCAAACTCAAATAATTTAATTTAAGTGGAAAATTCAGTCTCAATTTAAAAGTCCAACCTTATAAAGATTCATCAGACCCAATACTGTTCAAGTTCAATCAAACTCATCAGCCTAATTATGTCATCAAAAGAGAGCACGGGAGCCTTACCCAAGGAAACAATCCATCACCTCAGGCCGAGTCTTGTGGAGAGCACCTCAATCACCTTGTCCGTTGAGAAAAAAACGTGAGTTCCACCAAAATAGTTGTTTAGTTGCTGTAAAGTCGCCCCAACCCGGTAGGGGGCGCCTATAAATTGTAAGCTCCACCAACACTTAGGGGTATGATACTTTTATTTGAGCACGACCCTCTTCCCCCTCTCAAAAGCTTGTACTCTCTGCTCCCTACACCCTTGAACTAATAAAATACCAGACGATTAAAGTCATTCAAAAGTGGACGTAGGTCACGATTGACCGAACCACTATAAATCTTGTCTTCTTCATCTCTCTTTATTTTTAATTACTGCATTTATTTATTCATACTTAACAGGTGGTGTAAAAACCTAATTTGTGCATCATCAGTTTTGTTGCTAAGGAAACTGTGGAGAATGGAAGAAAAAAAAAGTCTGTTTTGTTGTTGTTGTGTGTGTATGTGTGTGTGTTCTCTTAATTTCCAAAAATCAAATGAACTGGAATCTGAGTCTGGAAGAATAGATTTGGGGCTTTAGGAGACGCTGCTCATTTCACCAGTGGGATGATATGCGAAAGCCCACTGCTACCTTAAGTTGAAAGACGGCTTTTTCCGCCCTCTAGAAAGCTCAGCATTAAGGGCCACAAATTGTTCTTTTGACAGTGAAATTGCATGGTGCAAGTTGGGCGGCTTGGACAATCAACCCTATCCCAACTCTAGGTATATAATCTTTAACTTTAACCCTAACTCTAAACCTAACCTTAGCTCGAGTTGAAGAACTCAACCCAAGCACTGTCCGAGTTTAATTCGGACAGGTTCAGGTTAAATTCGGATTAATGATTTCGGGTTACTTTACAGATTCAATTCGGATTGAGTTTGGATAGAATCCAAAATAGACTTATTGTTCTAAATCTAATACATATATTATATAATATTCACATAAATTAACAACCAATAACTTCAACTAAGTTTTTAACATAAAAATCATAATCAGAATATAAAAATCATTGCCACCAGTCCACTACGAGAGAGATAGAGAGAAGGGAGAATAATGACAAATTCATAAAACATAATCCATATATTTTGTGCACGATTATTGATCATCTGTTTTCACACTAAAAATGAAAAATCAGTGTTAATGTTTATATATATAATTTTTTTTAATTTGTCGGGTTCGGGTTGAAACTGAGGCCTTAACCCGAGACCAACCCAATTGGGTTGGGGTTTTTTGACCTAAGCCCAATTCAAGTATTAAAAATCCTTATTCAAACCTTAATTTTTTTGCGTTGAAATCGGGTTGTTCAATCCAAATTGCACCCTAGTGAATTTCTTCAACAGAGAATATATAGATTTATTTAGAGAGCGAAAAGTACAACGATGTCCTCGTGTTGGTATTTGAAAGCAGTTTTTCTCCTGGGTTGAAACCCTTTCTCTTCGAGTTGGAATTGGCAGGTTGTAGTTCAGATTTAGTAGGTGACAGGAATTCTGGGGCCTGACTACCACGCAACAAAGTTCAACCCAGTCCAGAACTCAATTTCCACTAAGTACCCTAAAGGGCCTAAATGTGTTAGGGTAGTACGGTGGGAGCTTTTTGTTTCTTGTGTACCAAATGTTGGGAAAGCTGAAGGATAAGAAATTTATTTATTTTCCCCATTTCCATGCTTTCTTATAAGCAAGAAAGTAAATATGTGTTCCGGCATTCTTCACATTATAAAAAAGGTGGCAGAGTTGGGGGTTTGTGTGAATTATATGTCCTATTTGGGATTTGGGTACTAAATATTCTAAATATTTTCTTGAGAAAAAGGGAAAATGATTACAAATAGGAAATTCATACATGCTACGAATGAGAGAAGTATTTTTTGCAATTCTTGGGCCATGTAGGATATTGCTGATCTGATCATAATTGAATCAATCTGATTCTTTCCCAAGGATAAGCATTTTGTAGAACTCTTACTTGAAACAATTCCTCCAGCTGTTTTTGATTTTGCAAGTACATTGAGTGAAACATACCCTGATATGCTATACCAAAACGAAGTTTATAATTCAGTTCCTGGTGTCGGGGCTTCTTGTTACTACCTGCTTTTAGTTTTAAGCTAACCCCTGTCCAGTGCCTGGCAGAGCTGAGGGGGCCTTCCTTATTCAGGGGGGAGAGTGGAGCCTCAAGAAGCACTGTTACTCTCTCTGAAGCAGGTGGTGCATCTATACAAAAGGAAATGGGTTGAAGAAACCACTTACCCTTGCTTTACCATGATTGGTGATGGGACTTTTCTGAAATACTCCAATATGAAGACACGTGTCCTCGGCGTCATTAAAAATCCTGTTATTGAGATCACGTACCATCGGCTTACAACTCCCTCTCCCCCGAGGTAATTGACACGTGGTCAAGTACGTTTTACGAACCGACACGTATCCCTCGGTCTGATATGGTACCTCGGTCGTCATGTACAGCTTCCCTCGGCTCGAGATGTACCTATCCTCGGTACCGAGATGTACCCCCGTCCATGATGCCATTTCTCTGCTCCAGTATAAGCTATTGATGTACAGGTCATTAGCCTAGACTAGTCTAGGTTAGCTATCATGGTCTCGTCTTACATAATTGGTGTCAGGAGGCACATGAAGGCAGAGTCCACAGCCAATGAGGGATGGACGCGTGGCAAATTGTGTCACATCAGAGACAGAAAGACCGCATGCCCTTACTGACACGCGACTTGGGAAAGCAAACATTTAATTACACCATTCCCTTGATGAGACCGCATTCAATGCGGTAAGACTCGGAATTGAAAGACAATAAATGTCTCTGAGGCTGGGCATTTATTGCATCCTCCCCGAGTGGAGCTCATTGGACAGTCGGCAGCCCGATGACACAGCATTGATTGCTCGGGACTCCGAGCAGTTAAAGAAGAGAAGACATTCCTCATCAGAATCAGTGCGCACACTGCCTGTACCTAATGATCACCTACTGACAACACTGACAGCAATCATGAGCTTTTGAGGTATAAATACTCCTCGTAAAAGACAAGACGGTATGGAACAAAAAAAACTCTTTACTACGAAATATACTCCGTGCTTTCTTCTTCCTTTCCCTTTCAAAAACTGACTTGATCGTCGGAGGGGATAAGCCGGAAAACACTCCGGCGCCCTTCTAACTTGTTCTTCTTTGTTCTAGGAACCTTTCTCTAGCCTTACTGGATCGTTCCTTCAATCCACGAGGGTCTCCCGTTGCCGTTCCAGGTTACCACCAGACCTCACAGGCTGTCCCAAGCAGCGTGGTTGACCACTCAACTGATTCACTCGAGTTCACCAAGGGAGAGATCTGTTCTCGTTTTTTATATTGTGCAAGATCCTGCACGCACAATTGGTCAAAGCTTTGGTTCAGTCTACCTCTCGTGGGAAGCTTTATGGAAATTTACTCCTTTATATTTTTTTGATACTAGAGGATATGGTTTCACATATCCACTTGCCCGAATATTTGGTTGCAGAGTTATTTGCTATACACATTACCCAACCATAATATTTTGGTGTTGGGGCTGGGGCAGGGGCAGGGGAGGAGAGGGGAAAGGGGACTTGAACCCTTAATCTCAACGAGATAAAATCTTTACAAGATAAGAAGTACCGTTGAACTAAATGCTCATTGGTGACTTCTTTGGGTTGCTTCTATAGGGAGCTTTTTGTGGACTTTGTTCTATTCTTATGTGAAGCTCACAAGAATTATTTTTGTGAGAGTGTTTTGCCATCTTGGTGCAAAGTCATGTATTATACCTTTTATAGCTGGACGGATGGGATTGTAGGCTCTTGTGCAAACCTTGCTATGGGGAACTCTTCATGGACACACTGTCATATTGAGAAGCTTTGGAAAATTACAGATTATTGTCCTCCTTGCGATACTTTGGGGTTGCAGGTTAGAAAATTCTTAGTTTCTTCTACTTAGTCATGCTCTGTTTGCTACTTGAGAATTCTCTTTGACATATTTTGCTTATGTACATCCACGTGGATTCTAAACTACTGCAATTTAAACAGGTGCTTCTACTGGAAAGGTCAATAAACCCTCCAAAACTTATTTCTGTGGCTCAATTTCTTCCGGAGAAGGTGGGCATCTTTACATAAACTTTATGAACTCAAGGTACTGTAGCTTTAGCGTTTGAAAATTCGGGTCCTTTAGAAATCATGGTAAAATTACCTATATACTTGGTTCTTGTGTTTCAGGCACACAGTCTTCAACTTGAGGCATTTTCAGTTGCCATCAAGAAATTGGATTCTGAATTTCCTAGACCTAGACTCCTGTTTGTTGGTAGTTGTCGGAATGAAGCAGATGAGAAAAGGTTGCAGAACTTAAAAGACCCAACTGTTAGACTGAAGGTGGAAGAGGATGTGGATTTCTATAAGAATGTGACGTACAGCTTTATTTCATTTCACTTTATATTTTGATTACTGCTAACACATTGGTGAAGATTTGATAATAATTTGTTCATTGCCTTTGGAAAGTACCATGCTGCTGCAAGGGTTCGAATTGCCTAGGAAGAATATGGTGCACTTGTTGAGAATCATTAACAGTAATTCGTTATCTTTCTTTATGCCTGTGGTAAACATGTTCATAATGATATGATTTGGTTGTGTGGTTTCCATCTGTCTTTGATCCAAATCCCAACTCAAAGTCAGCAGACTTTGAGTTTTGAGCTGGTGCCAAAGTGGTTTCCAAGGTTTCATATGTTCACATCAGTAACTTAACTTTGTCACTGACTACTTCTTTCTCCGTTGTGAACAGCAACTGGTGCTTGAGCCCTAGTCCTAATACGTCGGACTATGGCGTGGACCAAGGGCCGGCAGCGATTTTCCCTGGATGAAAGGTGTGAATTTATTTGAATTCTGTAGCAATGTACAACTGCATAAGAACCTTTATAATTTATTTCAATAGATCTCCTTTTGTAATTTTTCTTATAAAATTCTAAAGAATAGCTCTCCTTTTTTCATTTCTACTACAGAGATTCGGGGAGGCTTTTGGGTGGTGCAATTGCAGGGATCCATTCCATGACAGATGAGCATTTTGGCATAAGCATCGTAGAGTACATGGCAGCCGTCACCATACCAATTGGTTGGCATTTTAGTGGTTACTGTGTTTGATCACATTATTTTTCCACAGAGAATATATGCGCGGATAACTAGAACTGCCTCTTTTTTTTTTTTTTTTTTCCCATCTCATAAATCTGCTGGCCCAGAGATGGACATTGTGTTGGCTGAAGACAGGGAAGCAAACTGGATTTCTTGCCCAAAATGTGGAAGAATATGCAGATGCCATTTCAAAATAAGAATGTGGAAACCGAGAGATTTGAGATGGCTGCGGCTGCAATGAAACTGGCAGGCAGGTTTTCAGAACAAAGATTTTATAAAGATATTAAAGCAGCTGTTCGTCCAATTATTTGCTATACTTCCAAGTGATGAAAAACCAAAAGATGTACACTTGTGAGTTAAGAATAGGCGATCCCAATCTTAATTTTCAAATAGAACTTGATAGTGTAAAAAATCGAAAAGCATGAGGTGGGTGAGCTGATGATCTCTAGATGAGGTGCGCTATTCTTGTGTGCTAAAGCATGAAAATTAAGTGGTTCGCTTAATTGAAGAGTTGAGTTAGTACACTATAATGAAGACCATTACTCCTCGCTGGTGTATTCCTTGAGAAAGATTTCCCCTTATCTTCATGCAGCTTCTTGGGCCTTTTTTTATACAGTAATCATTGCCGTTTATAATAGATTTGTCACAGAATATTTGGTGTTACGTGGCTTTTTAGAAACAGTAACTTATTGTCAAAGGTAGGGTTTGATGGCAAAAGTCATTTTTTTTTTGCCTCTTATGGTAGTTTCTATGTTGTTTGTTCTCATTGCTGACTTGGAAAACTATTGACTCGGCATATGCTGACTTGTCCTGTCTTGATCTACTTGACTTCTATTTGATTTGTTTAAACTGTAAATTTTTTTGGTATCAACAAAACTAAAGAAATCTAATATTTTCTTTTTTCTCCCATGTGATAAACAAGGTTGTTATCAAGCAACAAAATATCATTTGACTTAACCACATTGGACATGATAGAAAGCAAAGGGTTAGCGACTTACTAGAGTACTATCAAGGTATTGATGGAAAGCTATGAAGGGACCTCAGTAGGTCACGAAGGCCCATTTTCATCCCTCTCTGGCGGAGGGGACTTGCTCCATACTAGTATTGAGTTCTCTGATAATTAATTGACCTCAATGGTATGTTTCTTTTGCTCCATCATATGCACTGGTCAACAACTTCACATTACATGAATCCGGAACTATTAGAATATGCCTGAATGAGAGTCTGAATCTTCAGCCAAGGATCCAATTTGTACCCTTGTCGTTTCTGATTCTAGTGTTAAGCTAAAATAGTGCACGAAAAAGGAGATTGTTAATCATAGGATGTGCAAGCACAAGCAAATAAAAAATGCAATCCAATGCATGATAATTCCGATTTTGATAGAGTAAGGTGTACGCCACTCTTATCATGGAGAAAGATAATTCCCATTTCTCGAACACGTGAAAGCTTCAGACAAAATACACTGATTGGTAGTGGGTCAAAATTGGCTATCGGATAACCTTTGTTTGAGCTCTCGTGGCTCAACCCTTTATGGCTGCTGTGTTTATCTTCTTTGTACCACAACTATCTGGCATGTTTATCATATCTCCTATATATCTTCTTATGCTCCACCAAAAATCCATTTTCATTAGCTGCCGACTTGTACCAACACCCCCCCCCCCCCCCCCCCCACCACACACACACAATGCCAAATTCCAAAATACAATGCACCCAAATCTGGCACATTTCAATCTTGGCACCAATTACTACTTGTTTAAGATTTTTGTTCATCTGGGGGAAGCAATGGGACCATGAAACATAAATGGAGTACTTCACTTAAGAACTCGTAGAAGAGAAGGAAAAGTGGGAATCACAGAGACCACACATTACACTGACATACATACACATTGAGTGGCAGATTACTTGTATCAATTTTCTAAACTCTCTTTATGGTGGAGAGAGGATGGTGAAGGGGGGGGGGGGGGTGATTTGGGCCCCTACAGCTATGACTTGGGAGGTGATTGTAATTAAAGTTGTTTTGTTTTCTTGTGCAGGACAGTCATAGTCAAGTAGAGTTCATTCATATACAGTGAATAAACCAAATATCAATGAGATATGATTGGTCTGGCCACACATTAGATCCACTAGAAGGGACATTAGATAGATGGAGTAGATCTCCTCCAGAAACCAAATCTTTTTATTGGAAAATACAAGATTGCACCATTCAAGTTGAGTATAACTTTGTGCAATGATAATTTCAGCATTACCTCTTGTTGCTCAAACCTAAGATAATTAATTACATTCTTCTTTTTTTTTAACTATTTTTTCTGGTGGGAGAGGATGGTGAGACTTGAACTTGCGATCTAATGGTTCAATAGTGGGTTCCGGTGGTCATTAAGCCAACCACTAATCCTCACCGCTCCTGTCCCTTCTGTTAATCTTTGGTTAGCAAATGTATGGAGAACAAAAAGATTGAAAATATATAAATTGAAGATTTTGGAGTTGAGTTAATAATGGCAGTGGGTACACCCAAGATAAATAGATTATGTTTTAATAGAAAAAAGAATCTTGGAGCACAATGATAGATTATGATTCGTATAATCGACCTAAAATAATTGGAAAAAGTTTAGCTAAGTTGAATTGAGTGTCATTACAAACCCAGTAATAATTTTCTAAACACATCTGGAGTTGACAATTACTAACAATGTAGGCCTGCCACTTATTCCACAAATGTAAATGCTGATTGTCACAGTATCAACCATATGTATGTCCTATTGGGTTAGTTGCAGACAGCAGACCCTTCAACTTTTGTCCTCCAGATCTTTTGCTGTTACTAGGTCAATATAAATCAAATATTCCCAGACTCTACAATAGCCCCAGTAATCACTTGGGTGCTCCTCCCACTTCTCTGTTCTACTGTCTCAACTAAGTTTTTTTTGTACGCAATGTAACGTCAGTCTAACCACGCTTTTTTTTCTATTTATGATTGTAACGCATATTTTAGATGTACACACTTGCTCTTAAACTATGTCCATACATAAAACTTGAACTTTATGCATTCTGATCAACCACGCATCCCTCTAATATCTGCACTTTCTCATAAACTATGTGCATACACAAAACTTGGGACTTCATGTATTTCGATCGTATTTTTTTTGACTTATGGTTGCAAATGCCTCAAATATACGCACTTGCTTGTAAAGTATGCGCATACATGAAACATGAATTTTATGTGACCAGAGATATTCACAACTGAACCAACCCATACATTACTCTTTTGTCCATGGTCCGTGAACATCTAATTCTATCAGTGCTCCGACAGAGCATGCTATATTGAATATCATTTAAGATTCTTTACGGCTCAAACTGTTTGTTAGCTACTGTGAAAATGGTCATATTGAGGTGACTGGTGGATAAGGCCAAAACCCTATTTTCATTTGACCAATTAAAGGTTACAAGATATCACACCAATCACTATCAATACATGAAGATCACACATTATTAGTGCAGTAACTGTAGAAGTAGATCGAGATGTGATAAAAAAAAAAAGCTTAGGATATAATGTCTGTTAGGTTTGAGGACAGTTTTGTTTGCTGGAAAATGGCAGATTGCTTTTGTTCTGGTTGGCCTGATGAGGCAGCTTGGGCTGAATGTCCAGCTTCAATGAACAAAGACTCTTCTTTTCCATGGCTTCGTCCGAGTGATTCTTCTTCATTCCAGTTTAATGGCAGCCCTTCTGTCTTTCATTCATGGCCGACGCCGTTCGTAGCGGTTGGAGAAGACAGATCTGCAAGTGTTTCTAATAGCCATAGTCAAGCAGAGAAGAGAAGAAGGGATAGGATCAATGCTCAGCTTTCTACCCTTAGGAAACTAATTCCCAAGTCTGACAAGGTAAGCTTTTTCGCTCTCGATCTTTCCAGTCAAGGCAAAACGTGTCGTCTACAACGCAAATCTCGAATAGTTTTGTCTTGTTTTAATATTTGATTATTAAATCATTTATACAAGCATGTTACACGAGCTAAATTGGGTCATTTCATAAAATTTTCATCGTCTTTGATTTAATGGGTGCTTTGAAATGGGAATTCACTATCAAGAAGACATTGCAACACGCAGATGTGTGTGTATGTGCACGCACAAAGACCTTTTGGGTACAAAATTTATATTGGACACATAGTATATATGTCAGTACTAGAGGCACATCTTCTGTAATTAAACAGTTTTGTTCGAAATGTTCCAGGACTTTATTGACTTGGTCAGGAAAAAAAAAGAAGTTACTCTATTTTCTTACAATATTTTTTAATTATTAATTTAATTATGAATTCAACTTGAAATTGAATTCTATTTAAATGGGTATGGGTTGACATAGATATGTTAGTAGCAATTATTGATCAACTTGAGAGCGAGGCATGTTGGGAATGAGTCGAGACTTATGATTCAACAACCAAGTCGGAGACTACTGGACGTCTCATGAAGCCACTTTCAACGAGGACATTGAGACTAATTAACGGATCACTTGGCTTCAAAAATGATAAGGTTGCATATGAAGGAAACCAAATTTTAGAACGATTTTGTTTAGCAGATTTATGGTTGCACTAAGCAATTAGAGAAAACCAATAGCTATGCCAAATTATGGCGGGTTTTTTTTTTTTTTTCTGAAGTATATACGAGGCTTTTGTTACTGTGAGATTGGAAATGATTTGATGAACGTAAGTTTTATTGGCATGCAGGAAGACTGTTTTTGTAAATTTTGTTCTCAATCACCTAAGGCTGATAAAAATGTCTTGGTGCAGATGGACAAGGCAGCCTTGTTAGGCAGTGTAGTTGAACATGTCAAGGATCTGAAAAGAAAAGCAATGGAAGTGAGCAAAGTCTCAACCGTTCCAACAGACATTGATGAAGTGACAATCGACTTCGATTTCGATCAAGCTTCTTCAAGCTCCACCAGCTGTAGCAAAATTAGCAAGGACAATAATATCTTCATCAAGGCTTCAGTCTGTTGTGATGATAGACCAGAACTGCTTCAAGAGCTCAGCCATGCCCTCAAAGGCCTTCAGCTAACAACAGTTCAAGCTGATATTACCTGTTTGGGTGGTAGAATTAAGAGTATTTTGGTCCTTTGCAGCAAAGATGGCAAAGAAGGTGCATGCATGAACACTCTCAAACAGTCCCTTAGAGTAGTATTGAGCAGAATTGCAGCATCGTCCACCGCCTCAAGTTATCGGATAAAAAGCAGAAGGCAGAGGTTCTTCTTGCCCACTGATCATTAATATCCTCAAGCCTTAACCATCTTACTAGTCTTCCATCATCGGTCTTGGTCGAGTTTGAAATTTTCTTCCCTTGTTCTATTCCACCCTGTGACATGAATATGAATGCTCAGTGATCTCTCAAAGTTTGTGAAGATTCATGGATGGTCCTTGTAGGGAAGCAAGTTATCATGTTGTAGATTAGTGTGGTTCCTGAGGAGCAATCGAGCTCCTCTTCATGTAACACTAGTAGAAAACAATATGATTCATTACTCATTAGACGATTTTATATATTCTATGGGAAAAAAAATCCAGTACTGTACAAGGGTTGTAACTATAGTTAAGTGGTATTACTGTTTTATTCTCATTTTGATAATGAGGAAGGATTGATTCCAAATTTAAACGTATTATATGTACAATAGTCGAGCTATACTTTTAAGTTCGTCTAAAAAAACGAGCTTGACTCGTGTTTGCAAAGGTCAACTTGATAACAGTCCAAGAGGGAAGTTGGATGTGTAGTGGTGACTAATACAATTTTTGGGAAAAGCTCGAGAAAATATTTAGAAGGCTTAGCTACTTTCCAAATTCCAATCTTTCTTCTATCAATGCTTAATTCTCTTGGTGTTTTTTTTTTCTCATTAACCTTCTTTCAGTCAAATTCTTTCATAATAGTTGCTCCTGCACAGAGTTATCTATATACGTGATTGTAAAGACTGAATTAGAGAGAGGGTGAGGGGAAGAGACATTGGAGTGAGGAGAGATGGTTTGGTGTGGTTAGTAGAGTTATGACTGGTGAATGGGGGCAGTGGATGGCTGAGAGACAAAGAGAGTACTACAGACATGTAAAAGACAATGTCTAACCTCTATGATAACCTAATAGGGGCTTTGCACACGACATTTGCGTGCCTAATTAAAAATGATAATTATAAAAGAGTGGGATAATTATAAAAATGTTCTTCATACCAAGAGTAGTTTTGTCAACACGCGAGCACTTCGGGGCTGTTTGGATAATTTGTAAGAGAGAAATTGAATTGAATTTATGAAACTTCTCTAAATTCACTTCTTAAAATTTGCTCATGGGATTTAACAATATTATATCTAATTATATATTTAGTAAATGACGCAAATATAAATAGGATTGTTGAGTTTCTTAGAGAGAATTGTCTCACGCTCTTAGATATTCTCTACTTTCTCATGTGTGTTGGTTTCGGGTATAAGTACTTTTATGTTGAAAATCGAATTTTTCGCGAGGGGATGGCATGGGTTATTTTAGTGTGGTAATGTCTGGCATTCCAACATTGGTTCAGACATAAATTTTACATATGGGTTTGTTCCGGGCTGAAGTTCAAATCCCAAGCCTACAATCTATGCAACCAAAGAATAAGATAGTTTATTAAATTATTAGAGAATAATGCTATTAAAATTTAATTTATTAAACATCTGTACTTATTATTGATCCAATAATAATAATTATAAAGAAGACAAATCATTATATCAGCAAAGTCTTGTTTTTAAAAAACTCATTTTATGAATCCACCAAAACCCAATGAAGCAAACAGGCCAGAACGATGGCTTCACTCAATTCAAACTCCTCTCCAAAACCTTTCTCTTTCTCTCCTCTTTTTTACATAGACCCTAATTCATAATCATATGTCATTTCTTCCATATTCCAATCTCCGACTGTATATATACAGAGAATGAAATCAAGGGAACAGAAGGTGGGGCTAAGATCAAGAGGTTCATGGAGTCCACAAGAGGATGAAACTCTGTTGAAGCTGGGAGAAGGACACGGCCCTAGCAATTGGTGTCTGATAAGCGCCGGCATAACGGGCCGGTCTGGAAAATCATGCCGACTAAGGTGGTGCAACCAGTTGAGGCCGTAAGTGCAACACCGCCCATTTACTCCGGCAGAGGATAATTGGCAACAGATGGGCCACTATTGCACGCCTCTTGCAGGTCGCACGCCGCCAAAGACGAAATGGTAAGTTATCTTCTGACTCGAACAAGGAACAAAGAGACCGGAACTGTTTGGTTTTCTCTCAAAAAAATAATATTCGAAAATTATTTTTGGACTAGAGTTTTAAAAAAATATTTTTAAAAATTTTTAGATTACAAAATTTAATTATATATTTTTAAAAATAATTTTAAAAAATAAAATTATAAAATTTATTTGAATAATAATCCACAATTTTTCCACAGTTTCTCAACAGTCTCTCTCACTTTCGCTATGTATCACCCAACACTAACAACTGAGAACCACCGTCAACCCCAACACCCACAACCACCATCAACCCAAACCGAGAACCACCCAAACCTACCACCAAGACCACCATCAACACAAGCCGAGAACCACCCAACAACCACAACCACCACCCACAACCACCACCAACCCACACCTAGAACCACCCAATACCCACAACCACCACCACCACCACCACGCAAATCATGAACCACCCAACATCCAACATCCAACACCCACAACCACCACCAACCCACACCGAGAACCATCCAACACCCACCACCCACCACCACCTAAACCGAGAACTACCCAACATCCCACAACCACCACCAACCCACACCAAGAACCATCCAATAACCACAACCACCACCACCACCACCACCCAAACCGAGAATCACCACCCAACACCCATAGCCACCACCAAAGGATCTGTACTTCCGGTCACCGGCTCTATGAGTTGAAGACACAGTCATGGTGTCGGCACAAGAGAGGGAGAGAAGTCAGAGAGAGAGATGAGGGAAAAAGAATGCAAAAAAAAAAAAAAAAAATTTATATTTATACAATAAGTGCACAGTAAATAGATTTGTGCGTTATCCGTGTTTTCAAAATCTTCAAATAAAATTCAAAAAACAAGTCTGCCGTTTTTTATTCTAAATCTCATTTTTTTTTTAAATTTTGAAAATAAAAATGTTTGGAGTATTTTTAAAAATTTTGAGACCAAAAAATTGTTTTAACCAAGGCCGGGTTTTTTCGGCAACTGGGTCATTTGAGACTGACTCGGTTGTGAAGAGGCTGAGTTTGGCGGCATCGCCGGAGGACAATTGTTGCGATAGGCCTGAGACGTGGCTTACGTTGTCATTGCCGGGGGAGGTGACGGTTGTCTAGCCGGAAGGAGAAGAAATGGTGGTAGAGGGGAATAGGAGAGATCGATGGTGGAGATTGAAGAGCCAGAGACGTGTTTGTTGACGCTCATGCAGCGCATGATAGCATACGAAGTCCGGGCTGAAGAAAAGTTTGGGTTTGGGCTTGGGTTAAATCTTTCATCCGTAATTTTGTGTAAGCATTATCTCTAGAATGGTTGATTTTGTTTCTTTCATTTCCCTAATTCCTTTATTATTCTTTTTTTGGTTGATTATTTCTTTTTCTGACCTCTCTGATCTTTTATTTTTGTAATCAATGTTGATGAAACTAGGGTCATTGTCAACTTTAATCTCTATCGTACGACAGGGACCACTCATAGATGTGGGTCCCATAACTTTCAATTAAATATGAATTAGTCCATTAGTCTCTCAGTTACTTGAGGTTTCAACCATAATTTTATGGGCTAATGTCTCTTTGCATATCGAAAGATACTTCCATTTTTAATTTGTATTTTAAATATTAAAAATTTTATTTTATACTCTCAATATTATAATTGATAGTAATGTAAATCTTGTCTAGTTGACTGTTCAATTTTTGTTATATTGAAACATGAGTTGTAAATACTTTTGTAATGGGTTTATGCATAAATTTACAGTCTATTAGCGTATCATGTGAGTTGTACATGATAAAGTTAGCTTCTATTTAATTAATAAAATTTTATTTTTGAAACATAAAATAATGCCAAATTAATCGCAGACAAAAATTTGTAGTGATGAATACACCTCATCCTAATACCCGAAACACTTGTAACTTATGTGTTACAATTTATGACAAAAAATTGAACAACAGTCGTAGAAGGGTCCACATTACTATCAATTCATAATATTAAAGGTGCAAATTAAAATTTTTAATGTTTGAAAGTATAAATTGAGAATCGAAATATTTTTCAAGATGTAAAGTGACATTAATCCTAATTTTATTTATGGGTGAGGTTATTCATTCTTTTTATACTCACCTCATTAGTAACTAAGTTTACTCAATTCTATTTTCACCCTATTAATAATAAAATTTATTTCAATTTTTACTTTTAAGATTTCTTTACACCCATCTCACACAGTCTTTACACAAAATATATTTAATTGGATTTCACTTTGTGTTTCTTTCATGCAAATTGCTTCAACTGTCATCGTCCAATTTCTATCTTCTCCGATCTCATTGTCGGTATAATACTTTGATTCCGCTTTGTGCTTCTCTTTCTTCCTTTCTTAATTGTAATTTGAAGCAATTCATAGAGAAAATGATCTTCTTCACACGCAATTTTTTTAATACATAGAAAAAAATCTCTTGGAGTTTTCGTTGGAGGTCATATTTGAAGCTAAGTTTCTTGAAAAGGGAAAAAAAAAAGATCATCAAGTCTCTCTCCATAAATCACACAATTTATACATAATTGTTTATTCAATTTTAATAGATTATTTAGTTGAATATATTTTGTATAAATTATGTGAGATAGAATATACAAAGAAACCATAAAAGTAAAGATTGAGATAAATTTAATTATTAATGGGGAGGTATAAAATGTGGTGGACATAATTAGTAAGTGGGGTGGATATATATTAAATGACTTAGTAGTTTTATAATGATTAGTTTAATGGAGTGGGAACAACCCCAGCCTTTATTTATTAGACAAGATTGATACTGAAAAAGAAACTTTTGTACCATACTTTCAAATTTTGATACAAATTTTATAATTTGTTTACAATGTACAATTTTTGGGTTAAACATTTAAAATTTAAATTGTAACTTTTTTAGGTTAAGTTACAACTTTTTTAATAACTTGTTATGGATCCTAAATATGTTAGAATTGATCCTAAAATCCCAAGTCGTCGCAAAAATTATAAAATGATCCTTCAAAACTATAAAAAAAAATTACAAAAATTGTAATGAAAGTACAATACCATTTTTTTTTTTCAATACCGTGGAGTTCTTATTCATTTCTTTTTGTTTTTAGACCGTTGAGCTTGATATAGTGTTACATGGATTAAGTTTCTTATTTATTTTGTTGCACCAATGACAATGGCACACACGACTTTAAATATGCAGAACCTTGGCAGAATTATGTCAAACCATACAAATAGATGGGCTCCCAATGGCAACGACACAAATTTAGAACGAAAAAGATTTTACTTGGGGTAAATTACATCCATCATCTATGAAGTTTGTTCAAATAACACTATCTTCTCCTCTGTCACATTTGTCTTGTTTTCATGCCTAAATTTGTTAAAAGACTATAATAACCTTCAGTCCCTTCTTTCGTCAAAAGCTATCTTCTCCGTTTTTCACTTTGTCGCCCAACCAACCTCATGAGGACCTCCACCACCAACCACTAGCTAACCATCCACCACCACCACCGCCCAACCTTCCCAATTTAGTTGCATAGCCTTTTCTCAATATCAATCCCACAAAAAATTAGTTAAATTTTATTACAACTCAACGTAAATTCAACCCAAATGAACAAGGAGATAACATAGCAATTTCTCATACGTCACAAGCACCACCAAAATAACCCACTTCACTAGTCAACTGATAAAGTTGATTCTAGTGCAAAGCAATTCTTTCTTTTGTGTAGTGTTGATAGAATTGGGATGTGACCGACCTTGAGGGACGGTGATCACCTTGGCTATGCTATAGATTAAATCAGAAATTCTTTCTTTTGCATATTGTTGATAGAATTGGGATGTGACCGAACTTGAGAGACGCTGATCACCTTGGCTATGCTAGATTAAGTCAGCAATAAATCACCTTTGATCTCTCCGTCACAATCTTCATCCATTACGAAGTTTGATCCAAGGTGCGTGGTTGCTTGGTGGTCATGTCTGATGGTGGAGAGGCACTGAACCATGTAGGAGAGGAAAGGAGGGGAGGGGTTAAGGTGGGTGCAATGAAGGGGCTGATGAATAGAGATGGGCCTTCGTCCCGTTTATTGAATTCAAGCGGAAGAGTGGGAGGCAGTTGAAAGAGTATAAATGACAAGTTTATTTGGAAACAAGTATAATTTGTGTTCGCTTACCGGAAAAAAAAAAAAAGAAAGTATAATTTGAGTACAACATAAAAAGGAATTGTTTGGCAATAAATAATTTTGAGTGATCTAGAAATTTAGAATTGGTACTTTTGGAATTATGAATTGCTTACATCATCGATTTATTAACAATTTCCTAACGGTAGAAAAGAGGATATGTTACTGACCATCAAAACAGTAGGAAGTATAGTGTTATTTTTTACACAAGGATGGGTCCAATAGTTTTTTAAACAAACATCAAGGGAATTAAATGTTATTTACCCTTATAAACTTTAATTCAGAGCAATAAAAGAGAATCTAAATTAGATCTCAAATCTGATACTGAATTGGTGGGAAAAAATATCGATTACAACCAAATATAACACTCAATTAAATCCTCCCACCTGTATAATGGAAAGAAAACAATGTGAGAGCCCTCTAGAGCACAAGAGAACAGCGAGAATTTCACTCTAAGAGAAAGAAAGGACTCGTTTTAATTTATGCCCGCAACGGAACGCAAGCAGCACAGAACAAAGGCACGCTCGGTTCTCTCAAAGGCAAATATCAAATGTTCATAATTGAATATTCCCACTAGTAAGGGTTTGCAACAAATGAGTTCAACATAACAGGGGATTGAGTTTTAAAAATGAATATCTTAAAAGAAAAAGGTTATCACCCTAGCATAACGTACATGCATCAAATGAAAGCACGATCATCAAAGTGGCTACTACATTATGGGATGTGTTTACCTATATATCTACCTATCTACATCAACACTAACAACTCATGGCGGAGCCACAGATTCACAAACATCTAAGCATGTCATGATGAAAAAACTTGGACCTCCTAGGCTAGGAGGTCCAAGTTTTTTTAGATTCTAGATGGGGTTGAAGGCTGTAGGTGCACAAGACAATACAGCCAAATAATTCGGATGCTCCATTTGGAATGACAAATAACATAACAGAATCAAACCACAAGTCGATATTTAGCAGAAAAAATCCTCACAGGAGGAACAATATACCAGATGACAGGTAGCACGATGCAACAAGATAGTATAGCAATACATCGCACTGTTTAAAACCGGTTTAAGAGTTTTTTTTCCTCAAATTGATCTATGCTTCGGAAACATGAACATCTCTCACTTTCAAATTCAGAGAGTTCACCAGTAAGAAGCAACAACCACA